TTGTGAGCTCGTTGCAGGCCATAGACCCTGCTCACCTCAGCACTAGCCTTCAGGGTTATGACTCAGATGAAATTAGTAGTCAGGTTGTGAATGTTTCCAATGTTTCCCATTTGAAATTGATAAATTGTTCGGAAAACTGGATACCAGACACATAGAAAGCTTGAAAAAAAGGAATTTTTGTGTCGCTTCCAAAGCGTTTACAATGTGTGTACGCTAATCTTTCAGTGCCTGATTGTTTTTCCACACACGTTTGTTTTCTTCCTCAGTACTAAAATGTTTCTGATGCAACTATGAGTATAAGCTCGTGAGTAGATGATTAGAAATGATAGTCTTGGTATTCTTGTAATCACTATCAATGTGTTGCAATATAGTTCAGAACATCAGGACATTTTCGTCTAACCGCGCCTTCTAAGAGCACTTTACGCAAAAAAATTGGAGTATAGATTTCTGGCTTTCCGATGACTCCACTGTTGTTCTATGGATCAAGATGATCAGGAAAGACTACTCTTTTTATCAACTATCTATACTGAGAGCTCAGCACAGCCACGCGTGTTACTGATCCTGACCTCCTATTTCCACCTGCATTTTTTTCGTGGCAGCGAGTGTGTTCCTGACTTATTCCAGCCGTTACTCCAGCGGTTACGACTGGGTTGGAAACTTCCACAACCTAATGTCATTACTAATGATAATGATGAATGTGTACGTCTGTTTAATTTACGGACTACCATCGGTGGTATTCAGTTTTTGTGTACGTATGTCTGCGTGCGGGTTTTCTAGTCTTTATTGATGCAAAAATTTGCTTAGTATATTATGCATTACGTTTTACAATATGATCACCGGATTTACTCTATCTATACAGCTTTCTAGATAGTATTACATCTCTCAGCTGATTAGTGATCATAATTGAAAAAGTAGATCTATAACGAAATGCTCTGTCAAGCTGTGTTTGTGCTACACTGGTGATTCTAACACCAGTGCCCCTCTGTCTCTAGCAAAAGTTAGGCTTACCTCACACATAAGGATGGGTTTTTGTTTACGTTCATATATGCAACATACGTCAACATAACTGACAGGTTTTGTGAAGTACAATTTCCCAAACTTTCTATGTGCATCATCACGTGATTGTGCTGGAGGACAAGGTTACTTGAAGATTCACTTTGCTCTCAGGATATTCCGCGAATCAATTGGAGATCTTGTGGCCCTCACAGTTGAGTGGAACACCTTAGAGAGAGCTACTGAAGAATCAATATCAGGTCAACAAGTGTATGACCACTACAAATCAGCGCAAATTACTTAAAAAACTGGCT